CAGTCCTGAGGGACTCTGTTTGTGGGCCAGAGGTGTCCAGCTCAGAGAGCCCACAGGATACCCAGTGACTAGAGAAGAACTGCACTCACCTGGCAGTTGGTGAGCTTTTACCTGCTGGAAGAGAAATAGTTTAGGAAAGAAATAATCCAGGAAACAACATAACCCCCCCCCCATTTCCCCAGGCATGGAACAGAGGCTGCTACAAGGGCAAGGAGACATCTCTTCCCAGAGGCAAATGCCTACATTTGCCCAGAGTTTCACTCCATTATTCCCTACAGGAGAGGGCAGGGGTCAGACAGAGCAGAGCGCTTTCTCTGCTGCCTGCAAACAGCCAGGGCGCCTCTATCCATCATCCCACTGGGCAGGAGCCACCAAGAATTGTCCAAGCACTAATGTGAGAGAGAGAAAGAAGGGGCTTGGGAGCAGCTGCCTCCCTGCCACGCACTCAGCTCCCTTACCCTTCATCTGCTTTGTCCTGATGAGGTACAGAATTGCAGCCACCAGCAGGGCCAGCACCAAGCAGACCACGGCCACCACAATGTAGATGAGCAAATTGCCTGAAACATGAATGAAAAGGTCACCATGGCCCAGGAACCTGGTACCCCCACAGTACCTGCAGACTCACAGCTGGGGTTGGCCCAATTATACATGAAGCCCTGAGGAGGACAGCTCGAAGCCTGCCACTATCACACCCTCCATCCCCCTGGTACAGAGATTTAGTCCTTCAACCAGATTTTGATGGGGCATTGGGCTTTCTCAGGAGGTTACACCATACAGCCACCCTAGCAGGCACCCCACCCAGCTCTGACGCACCACTGTATATCTGGGACCCCTTGCTCAGTCCCTGCTGGTCCAGGCTGGCGATCCACAGGATGGCTGACTGGTTGACAGGGGCCTGAGCATCGTGGACAACCAGGCAGGTGAACATGGACCCATTCTTCTCTTCTGTCGCTTGCACCTCCAGCTGGCTCCTCAGCTCCAACAAGCCCTGGCGGAACACCGACGGCCGGGAGTCCTTCTCCTCCTTTATCTTCACCCCGTCCTCCAGCCAGGAAACAGCCACAGTTTCTGGGTAAAACCCCTTCACGTGGCAGGTGAATTTCATGGTCTTGTTCACCTCAACGGGGCTCGTCTGGTTAGCGCTCACATCGACACTGGGGGAAACTGGGAAGAGAGGTAGCGCCTGCTGTCTGACGTCCCTGGCTCTGCTGCCATCAGGGTGTCCTGTCCCCACCCCACGACCCACTGTACCCACTCCAGGACCCCCAGCCCCACAGGAGCAGGACACCCCAGCACAAATGCCCCAGCCCTCACCTCTCAGGACTCTGCTGAGCTGGTAGACCCCCAGCAGCGAGGTCGGTGATGCCGAGTGCTGCACCTCACAGATGAGCCGTGAGAGGACGTCCCGCTCCTCTAGGACCACTGTCACATTGCTGGACATGTTGTAGGATTTCTCCCGCCATTCAGTGACCTGGGGCAGCTGAGATGAGACGGAGGCTTTGTCCTTGAACCATTTCACACCAATGTTTTC